TATGCAGAATGTTTGTTATTTAAGCATAAAAATCACTTGCTGCTTGAAAGAGTTAAAATAACTATGACGGATGAAGCTTGTAACAGATTCGTGTTGTGTGAAGAGATAAGTCCTCATCCTACAGCTTGCACAATGTGACTGCATGGCTCATGTTATCTGAGTACTGATAACCAAACAGAAGTTTTGAGCAATTGATGGTTGTCATCTTTAGGATTTTTTTTTTAACAGAAATGAGTCAAGCGCTGATGTGTTCTCCACCAGTGCCATAGGGAATTGAGAAAAACTTATTGTGAATGTCACTAGTGACTTACCTTTTGGGATTTTCCATTTTTTATTTCAGAAGGTGGAGAAAGCTGCTAGGGGAGATCTGATTTTGACAAATAGGGAAGAACTGGTTGAGAATTTGAAAGTGGAAGGCAGCTGGGGTGAAAGTGATCATGAAATACCAGAGTTTGTGGTTCTGAGAAATGGTAGGAGGGAAAATAGCACAATAAAGACAATGGATTTCTAGATGGCAGATGTTAGAAAACTCAGGGAGTTGGTAGGTAAGAGCCTTTGGGAAGCAAGTCTAAGAGAAAAAACAGTTCAAGAGAGTTGGCAGTTTTTCAAGGAGACATTATTAAGGAATGAGAGCAAATTATCCCACTGCATAGGAAAAATAGGAAGTATGACAAGAGACCACCCTGGCTTAACCAGGAGATCTTCAACGATCTGAAACTCGAAAAAAAAAATCCTACAGAAAGTGGAAACTAGGTCAAATGACAAAGGATGAATGTTAACACAAGTATATAGGGACAGAATTAGAAAGGACAAGGCATAAAAGGAGGTTAAACTAGCTAGAAACATAAAGGGTAACAAGAAAACATTCTACAAATACATTAGAAGCAAGAGGGAGACCAAGGACAGGGTAGGCTTAGCACTCGAGGGTAGGGCGGGAGGGGAGAACAATAAAGAAAATGTGGAAATGGCAGAAGTGCTAAATGACATTTTTGTTTGTTTTCACCAAAAAGTTTGGTAACAATTGGACATCTAATTTTATGAATGCCAGTGAAAATTAGGTAGAATCAGAGGCTAAAATGGGGAAAGAAAAAGTTAAAAATTACTTAGACAAGTTAGATGTTTTGAAGTCACCAGGGCCTGATGAAATACATCCTAGAATACTCAAGGAGCCGACTGAGGAGATATCTGAGCCTTTTGCTTAGAAAAGTCATGGAAGACAGGTGAGATTCCAGAGGACTGGAAAAGGGCAAATATAATGCCAATCTATAGAGCCCTGTGTGGATACAACATCTATATCTGTGGATATAAAGCAGATATCCGTGGAGCTGCAGGGCTCTACTAGGAACCACAGTGGTGAAAGCAGCAGCATGTCGGGCTGCCACTCGCAGGAGCCAGAGTCCAGCAAACTCCTGCCCGGGAGCGTGCAAGCAACTTGCACACACTAGGGCGACCATGGGCAGCTGTTGGTGAGCCTGGTGCCCACCCCACTAGGCAGGGCGGGGGGCAGTACAGCCATGCCAGAGGGGCTGCCTGGGCTGGGTGCTGGCTCCTGCCAATGAGCGGCAGCCTGACATGCTGCTGCTTTCACCGCTGCAGTTCCTGGTAGATCCCTGCAGCACTGCGGATATCTGCTTTATATCTGTGGATATCCACATCCGTGGATATAAATTTTGTATCTGCGCAGGGCTCTACAATCTATAAAAAGAGGAATAAGGACAACCTGGGGAATTACAGACCATCAGCTTACCTTCAGTACCCGAAGGATAATGGAGCAAATAAGCAATCTGCAGACACATAGTAGAAAATAAGGTGATAAGTAACAGTCAGCATGGATTTGTCAAGAACAAATTGTGTCAAACCAACCTAATACCTTTCTCTGACAGGGTAAAAAGATTTGTGGATAGGAGGGATAGTAGATGTGGTATATCTTGACTTTAGTAAGGCTTTTGATAATGTCCCACATGACCTTCTCATTAACAAACTAGGGAAATACAACCTAGTTGGAGCTACTATAAGGTGGATGCATAACTGGTTAGAAAACTGTACTCAGAGAGTAGTTATCGATGGTTCACAGTCAAGCTGGGAAGGGCATATTGAGTGGGATCCTGCAGGGATTGGTTCTGGTTCTGTTCAGTATCTTCATCAATGATTTAGATAATGGCATAGAGAGTACACTTATAAAGTTTGTGGACGACACCAAGCTGGGAGGAGTTGCAAGTGCTTTGGAAGATAGGATTAAAATTCAAAATGATCTGGACAAACTGGAGAAATGGTCTGATGTAAATAGGGTGAAAGTCAATAAGGATAAATGCAAAGTACTCCACTTAGGAAGGAACAATCAGCTGCACACATACAAACTGGGAAATGACTGCCGAGGAAGGAGTGCTGCGGAAAGGGATCTGGAGGTAATTGTGGATCACAAGCTAACCATGTGAGTTGACAGTGTAACACTGGTGCAAAAAAGCGAACATCATTCTGGGATGTATTAGCAGGAGTGTTGTAAGCAAGACATGAGACGTAATTCTTCTGCCCTATCCCGGGCTGATTAGGCCTCAGCTGTAGTATTTTGTCCAGTTCTGGGTACCACATTTTAGGAAAGATGTGGACAAATTGGATAAAGTCCAGAGAAGAGCAACAAAAATGATTAAAGGTCTAGAAAACATCTCTGATGAGGGAAGATTGAGAAAATTGGGTTTGTTTAGTCTGGAGAAGAGTAGACTGAGAGGGGACATAGCCGTTTTCAACTACATAAAAGATTGTTACAGGGAGGAGGGAGAAAAATTGTTCTCTTTAACCTCTGAGGATAGGACAAGAAGCAATGTGTTTAAACTGCAGCAAGGGAAGTTTAGGTTGTACATTATAAAAAACTTCCTAACTGTTAGGGCGGCTAAGCACTGAAATAAATTTCCCAGGGAGGTTGTGGAATCTCCATCACTGGAGATTTTTAAGAGCAGGTTAGACAAACACCTGTCCGGGATGGTCTGAATAATCCTTAGTCATGCCTTGAGTGCAGAGGACTGGACTAGAAGACCTCTCAAATTCCCTTCCAGTTCTATGATTTTATGACAATGATCAGGTGATGGACTTGCCAAAAATGGTATTTAGATAGATTTCTGCTGGCTACATACCTGTGTATATGCATAACTTGCATTGTAAATTACTGTCTCCTATGGTAGTAACATAAATTGTGGTTTTGGCCAAATCACTCTGCTTTTGTTCAAACTACAGCCGTGTTTGGAGATTTGCCATCACTCACATGGAGCATATTCAGTTCTAGTGATCTGCAGATTTTGAAGGATGTAAAAGTATGTGCAGACCACTCACTCAGCAGAGGCTTTTGGCAGTCCCAATAAAATACAAATCATTCCAGTTTTTGGAGATATGCAGTGTTGATCTATGTGCACTAACTTTTAAAGAAGATTTCAATGTTACTGATTTCTGTTGAGTACAGAGTTTTGCAATGTTTTAAATCCACACATTATTAATGATTTTTTCTGTGTAGGACACAGCTGTTCATGTATCTAAGGCAAAGACAACTAAAAAAACAATAAAATACAAACATATCTCTATTTCCTTCTCCTTAGTTCATTTGCTAATAATCTTAATGTTCCATAGATTCTTCTTTCAAAAATATTTTAATAATTTTTATAACTAACAACAATTATGAATGTCATATTGTGTTATGTCTGTTTTAAAGTATGAATTTCTAAGTCTTTAAAATATAGTGTCCTTTGCACTTTTTTGTTATAAATTAAAATTTGGAAGATGTAGTAGAATCCTTAGGAAGAAGAATGCTTTCAGATTTCTGTCTGGGGCTTTGGCAAAATTGAAGAGGAGACTTTCCCTAGGGAATCTGTCCCAGGTTTTACACAAAACTGCTGAGGCAGGACTTTGGGCCTCTCCCTCTGCCCTTTATATACATGGGTGCATCTCCCATTACCTCGATGTTGATTATGTTCAGTAGAGCTTCTTATTACTTACTTTAATAGTGTGTCTTAGGGCATTAATTAATAACACTTGCAGTTAACTGGAACACTATAGAAGAAAATTTTACAGTGTCTTATATACTACTAAAAAAAAGAACAGGAGTACTTGTGGCACCTTAGAGACTAACAAATGTATTAGAGCATAAGCTTTCGTGGGCTACAACCCACTTCATCCGAAGAAGTGGGTTGTAGCCC